GGGCGGGCGGGGACATACCTCGTGGACTTGAAGAACGAAAAACAAACGAGGACCTAATGGTAAGCGTTCACTGTTTCACAACCGCAGTGTGCATTGGATGCGCACGCAAGTCCTAGTCTGGGCACGAGCGAAGCGCAACCAGTTCACGAAGTAGCACCGACCGCGGCACTACATGCAAGATCATTAGGGGATTAGACAAAGCAAGATGCGAGATCAAAAGGAACACACGCACATCTGGACAGTAAAGCCCCGGAAGGCTAGCATTCGGGAGCCATATGAGCGAGCGAATGATGACGGGGAGGAGAGACACACACCAGGAAAACCACACAAGACTGTCAAACAGGTAGAGTAGCACGTCCGATTTTTTTTTTTGCATCCGGGGGCATCAGGGCAGACTCGGGAGTGTGGGCGATGCCGAAACTACGTCGTGGAGGTGTAAATCAGGAGGGCCGAAGGGTATGAATGGGTACGGAGAGTGAACATACCTTCGTTCACGTTCAATGGCCCAAAGATGCTGTAGGACAATCCACAGCGCTCAGCTATGGCCGCGTCAGCAAGAGAGAAATATGAAAGAACAAACATACCTAGATATGTAACTGATTCACAGCGTGCAAGGCTGATAAGGACAAAGTGAGATTGCAGAACGAATGCAAGATATGACTTGACGCACATCTGGACACGAAGCCCTTGAAATCCGCAGTTATATGAGCAAATGCATGGCGACGGAGAGCAGAGACACACCAGGAAAGTCACACAAGACTGACAGATAGATACTGAATCGATTTTGGATCACGGCGGATGTCGTGGGTGGGTGCAACCGATAGCGCTCGCGAGTGTAGATGGTGTGGAAACTACGTTGCAGAGTAATGCATCAGGAGAGGCTCAAGGAGGCATGAGAGAGTGGACATACCTTCGCACACGGCTCAGCAGCACGGCTGTCGACAGCGTGCAGAATCGCCGCTGGGAGCAAGCGGCCTTTATACAGCGTGGGATGACATGCAAAAGCTCACAGAAGTTTCCAGAGCACCGAGCAGGAGGGGCTATAGGTATGCAGAAGGGAAATTAGGGAGGGGATGGGAGACAGACCACAGCGATGTGGGGGGAAAGGACGAGAGCTGTTTGTTTTTGTTGTGACGGAATCAAAACGAACCATTTTCACGCTCACGTGGTTGCGTTTGATCCGACGGCGATGTTACATTAGGGCCGGTCGTGATGGACTTGGTCAAATTTCGAAGTACGCCCTTCAGTCATCTTCCAGTTCTGTCTCGGAGGATGGCCAGTGACATCAGGGATGGTTGTGGCAATTGAATCCTACTCATCGCAATGTCTGCATGAACAAATAACTTCAATTTGAAGGGTACGAAGAATTCATTCTCGGGAAACTACGGAAATCAGGGTAATCTGGCCGATTTGCCCTGAAAGCCGGGAATTTGGAAAGCCGCTAGAAAATTTGGGGTAAATTTGTGAAGGAGGTTTTTCCTGATGTCACCAGTGCTGTGCCTCCTTTTTCGTGTTCCTGACGTCGTACGCACTCCGCCCGACTTCCGCAGCTCCACCACGCCGTCTTCATGTTCAAACAAGGTTTTCACTTCTCGCGCAGGTACGCAATGTGTGGCTTGTGCGAGCCCTACTCAAGCCCTACTTACACATAAACACAGCATCCATCTCTTCTTCACTGCAAGGTGAGTGTTTGCTGCTTCTCCTCTCTCCCTATACCCTGTTCGTGCCTCGTCGCTGCGCGTGTCTCGTCCGTACAGTTCATAATAATATATCTATTTGTCTCATACATTGTTTGAAACCTCCGCGTCGTATGCCTGATTGAAAACCCAAATTTATTGGGTACCGCGCCGAAGCCTAGAGGTATCCTGGGCTGCTCTTGACACCTTCGGGCGCGTTGCAAGACAATTTGGCGCTAGGAACCTTATGACCTCTTGAGAGTGATCTCAAGAACCTGACATCCGAGATGCAAGCCACTTAAAACCAAATGACCTTACGACGTCTTGCAAGATGTCTGGGGCTGTTGCAAGCTATCTGGGATTTTTCCGACAAACCAGCGGAGGACCTGTTCGATTCGGGGACGAGTCATGTATTGAGCGGATAATCTCCTACTTTTTTCCCTTCGCAATTCAGAGAAACATGCAAAGATTTGAGCACGAGGATTTGTGCGAACTTGCAGAATTCTTCAGTGAACGATAAGAAGACCTGTGGGCTGCTTATCACTGATCATGCGTCCTCGCTTCCGTGGTACGATCCGGGAATGGTCATGGATAACAAGAAGTTTTCTTAGCGCCGGCATAACGTTAGCGAAAGCTCAGGGCTGGTACAAAAGCTATTGAAACCCGGCGGATTTACTCAGGTTGGTACACGCTTGCGGGACAATGTATGCATGCTGGGAGATGCTGGGAGTCAGGACTCAGAATGACATCGGGTAAATGAGGCGGTGAAGTTCTAAGGCTCCAACCGTTTAGTTTTCGTTTACGGATTCCCGTAAACTAAACGAAAACGGTTGCTAAACGGTTTACAACCGATTATAAACGTTTAAAAACGGTACTTTCCCCGGCATTTATTCCAAGGCCCTCCTTGAGGGCTCTGGGAGGATTTGGAACCTCGCAAGTGATGTTCTAACAGGATCATGCCACCGCATCCACTTTGCTGCACTAGATGACGGTGAATGGAAATGGGGGTTGAGCACCGCACCTTAGCCGAGTCGCATCAGCCTTCCCCGTTGGGAGATTTTCGGGAAGTCGGTGAGTGGAATATCATTGTAGTATGGCTATCAACCAAAGTTGGGGCCAGTTTGATTCATCCTGAGTGACATAGTGCATCCAAATTCTCTGGGAAGGGATGTGGTATCTGTGGAAATAATCGACCGTTTAAACCGTTTGGTTACCATTTGTTTACCGTTTACAGGAGCCTGCTTCGAGGCGCAAGTTTGAAGTCACAGTGCGTTCGAAAAGGAGGAACGAGCTGATTTTGTTGAAGCGTCTGTCTAGGAGAGACTATCGAAAAGAGGAAATCCGTTAGAAAATACATCGCAGAGGCGCAGAGATGAATCCAAAAAAAAAAAACGTCCCGGCAGCAGATGGTTATCGGTGACAGATCAGGGAAGCTCGCTCGGGAAAGAACACGAGGCGCGCGCTATGGACGCGGCATCAACGGTCACATGATCGTGATGAACCATGATGCCATCAACCTGCCCCTTGTCTCCAACCACCACCTCGACGTCGCTCAGACCTGCGCCACGACCTCCCTCTCTCATCGTCGCCGCTACACTTTCTTTTCAACTCTCCCCACTACTCATATCACGATGAACACCACCAAGACCTATAGCAGGTCCAAGAACGCAAGGACTCCCTTTATCGATGCATCCAACCGCACAGCGACGAAACACCACGCTCATTTACGCACTCTCAGCGCTCCTTCTCCCCCCAAATCACCCCCGACGTGTACCGTATCCCTCGCCCACGTCACCACTTCCCCCGCGCTATCGATTTCGACCGCGGTCCCCTTGCCTACGCTGTCGCCTCGCGTCCTGTTCCCCAGTGACGATGCAGACGCGAATTCATGGGGAGAGGGCTCATGTACGGTGTCCCCAGAACCGTGGCGGCGACCGAGAGCCCGCACATCGCACGTTCGGACGCCACGTCGCGCACAGCCGCCATCTACGCCCACACGGAGAATCTCCGAGCATCCCCGTACCGGCGCCACTCCGAGTCGCGATGTTAGGGCTCCACGCCCCGCTCCTACCGCATCAGAACTCCGCCTGGCAGCTCTTATCGAGCGCAGTATCGTGCAAAACCTCGCCATCCAGCCGGCAGTGTCGGACCTGGATAGACAGGACGCACTCCTCGCCTCGCGCCTGCGCGCTTTCCTTACGCTGCACGGCTGCCACTCGCGACCTTCCTCTCCAACTACCGGCGCAGGGTTTCTGCCCGCTGCCTGTGCCCCATCTGTGCTGCTCTGTGGTAGCACCGGCGCTATCCCTTCACCTCTTCCCGTGGCGGCATCAGCCCCGCTGCGTTTCATCACTTCCCGAGCGCGCTCCGGCTCCCGCGGCAGCATTAACAGCACCGCAACCCTTAGCATGCCCGCGCTCGTTGCGACTTTGCTGCTCCGCCGCCACGATGGCGGGCGCATCACGTTGACGCGGGACGCCAAGCGGAAACTCACCCCATCGCCGCTCGGCGTGCAGTCTTTCTCGAGCTAGCCTCCAGCCCCCTTTTTTTCCAGTCAACCTCACTCTCGAGCGAGCCTCCTGCATTTTCCCCCTCATCTACAGCGCCGCCCCATCTTAGGTTTTAGACTCATCGCATGATAAGCTTCAAGATTTTTACCACGACATATATCATACTTACCACGTCCGTCCACGCATCTCATTCTCTGCGATTCATTCCCCACTACCACGCCGCGCATTCCATCCATCCCACGCATTCATGGACCATTATATCAACATACTGACAATGACACGCCCTCGAAACGCGCGCACGGACAAAAACAAGATACTTACATTGTAGCACCACCTATCGTCTGTACACCCCGCATTTTCAATTCAACTTGATACTCGCATAGCCCAACCCTGCTTCCCACTTCCATCTTTCTATTTCAACAGCACGAATCCCCCGCAACTCAACTCGCGCGCGTTACTTTCATCCTTTTCAAAAGCAGCCCAGCTAACGTACCCCCTGCATAGACGGAAAAGGCCCGGTCGCGGACGGTCTGCACCTACCCCGAGTAATTGCGCCAGAGTCGCAGCATACGAAGGAAGGCTCGTTCGACTCGAGCTCGGGCCTTTAGGATAGAGGGTGAACAAGTGGCTTTTTTCTCCGTTCCGAGGAAGTTGAGCGCGCTGAGATACACTCTACAGATACAAATCGAGCCACTCCGCTCACGCAGAAAAATTTGTGATGGAGTCGTTGGCCGGTGCCGGTATGTTCACATTCCCCTCCACATTCACTGCCAAGAATGCGCGGTCCTAATCAAGCCCGCGAGAATACAGGGAAAGCCCGGTTGTGGAGGGATTCCACGCTTGCTTCTCGTGCGGCAATGGCGGAGATGTATATGCAGGAGCGCTCGTTCGACTCGAGCCTGGGCCATAGGTTGGGTGTAATTAGATGTTTTTCTTTTTTCCGTGCGCTTGAAACTTGCTCAATATGCAACGTCCAGGTCTCAGCCTTTGGGAGCCCCGCACCGGTTGCTGTGATTCGGCCCTCATCCTTCTCCTTACGTTCGGAAATTACCTTGGAAGCCCCCCGCACGGACCTGGGTCAATACAGGACTCGTACGTTCACATTCCCTGTCCAACTTGCCCATAAATTACTTATCAGACCCACCCCGAGACCTGGAGGGCCGAGTTCTAAGGGATACGTGCAAAGCCCACCGGTGGATGGATTCCACAGCCTTCGGTATGCTGCGAGGATCTTATATGCAGCAACGCTCGTTCGACTCGAGCCTAAGTGGGTGTTTCCTTTTCCCATAAACTTGGACTAATATTCTGCGATCCGGGCATCCGTGCCTACCCAAGGAAGACCGGAAAGCTTCCTTATTTTGAGGTTTGCATATCGACCTGATTTTCAAGGAAGATCTGACGCAAGTGGCATACGTCATTGTCGCAAAAATCGCTTTTGGCTTATAAGCCCAGATAAAATTCAGGCCCTCGGATAGTTGGTGAGGAAAAAGTTCTGAGGACCTGGGTTCAATTCGATGCCTAAATACTTTCGCACCGTGAACCCCATTCCAAGTCGGGAGCGGCACTTCTGAACGTTTGAACGCTCATGCAACGCTCATGTGGAAGGTGGTTCGAGCCTGCTTGGGCCGCATCCGTTGGACCATACGGCGATGACAGCTAAAGAATATTACCAGCGAGCTTCTGGCTCCCAGACTAGTTGACTTTGCGTTGGGTTCGATGTTGTGAGCACGCCAAAACCGCGTTCATTTCGTTCATTCTCACACCAGACCGGAGAAAGGCTGAGTTGCCGAGGTTTGACAGCTCACTGCTTCCCGTCACGCGATGCCCCACCTCTTGTTCCTCACCATGCGTCGCCGGGACCACCTCAAAAGAGTCTTTGGAGCATTCCTCCCCTCTCGACCATCCTCTCCTGCTAGTTCACCCCCGATCCAACAGCAGCCTGTGGTTGTCCCAGAAATCCGCCCTCGCCCGGCGCTTCGAATCGATACTGGGGCCAGTCCGCCAGATACCGCGGTATCGATAACGGATCCACCGCTTGCGGCCGCCCACAAATCCCTCTCGGTCTTGGCTGGAGCCGTCGCCGCGTCAAGTGACGATCTCCCTCTCGCTGGCTTTAAACCCACAGATTCAAGGGATATAGTCATCGATAATCTCGGTGTGGCATTCGATGTCGCCGAGAAGCTGGTAGGATTCGCTCAAACAGTCCCCTTCATCGCCCCTGTTGCTGGGCTTCTTTCTCAGATTGTGAAGACATACAATGTGCGTCCCGGTGTTCAATGTCCCCGTTTTAAGACCTAAAATTCATCCATGCAGGAGGTCAAAGAGACTCATGACAAGCGGAATGTGCTCGTACTGCGTGTCATGGCTATAGCTGAGGATCTATATACCACCGTCCGCCGTCTGGAAGACACCAAACACATCGATCTTATCAAGCGTCTCCGACCGGACATCGAGAATTACACCGAGTTCGCGTTGTTTTTACTGTGTAATCGGCAGGATCTAATAACACTCGCCCAGGTTACTGACAGAAGCTTCCAAATTTGTCTCGGACTTTGACGGACTAGGGCGCATTCATCGGGGTGCAGCTCGCAACCAGCTCGGAGATACCTTCAGCGATTTTGAGCAGAAATTTGACTTTTTCGGAGCGCGTTTCAGGGTAAGTTTCGCAATTGTAAAATCGCCGTTCACACCTACAGCCCTTCCTTCTACAGACGAACCGCTTGGTAGACCTTGCGATACAACAGAACATCGCTCACGAAACAATTGAGAAGGTTTACGACATGGCGTGAATGGTGTTTTCCTCCTCTCGCCCACCGTTTTGCTCACTGGCATAAAGCACAGAAGAAAGGCTCGAAAAATGGTTGCGATCCCCCCCTGACATGGGTCAAAAGCAGCATGATACCCAGAAACTTCGCAAGGAAGGGACAGGGTCTTGGTTTCTCGAGGGCAAACTCTTCATCGAATGGCAAGACAGTCCAGGATCCCTGTGGATTCAAGGTTCATGTAAGTCACTGCCCGTCGACCTGCCTTCACACTGACTTGTGCGCAGCGGGGTCTGGAAAGACAGTCCTCAGGTGAAATTTCTTATCCATTTGCCCCACGTTATTTGGCTGAGTGAACGAAATTGCCCAATAGTTCTGCGGTGATACGCAAGCTTTTCGACGACCAGCAGTTATTCGAAAACTCGGGGAAGTCTTGCGCAGTGGCGTTTTTCTACTTTGACTTCAAGAGCAAAGTGGGCCAAACAGTGGAAACCGCACTTCGACGACTGGTTCTGCAGCTTTCCGCTCAGTCTCCGTATCGGCACAGAGCACTCGAGAAGCATTACAACTTGTCGAAGGGACAGGCCCTACCCACCTGGCATGATCTCCGCAGTGTCTTGGAAGAATTGCTTGGAGAGCTCCAGCGGTACCTATATTCTTCTTGACGCACTCGACGAGTGTCAGGATTCGGAAATCGATCAGCTCGTAGACTTCATCTCGATGCTACGGGGTTGGAGCCGGACCCCACTACATCTACTGATCACCAGCCAGCATCGCACAAGGTTTACAGAAGAGTTCGAGGATCTGCCCTGCATTTTTCTTGAATCACACATGATAGAGAACGACATAAAATCCTTCATTGCTGGCGAAATCTCTAGTAATCGCAGGATGAAAGTCTGGGCTTCCCGGGCAGATGAAATTGTTGATCGCGTTGCGCTAAAATGCAGTGGAATGTTAGTGCTTCTAGATATCCGTACACTCTTTCAATCACAAACATGTCTAGGTTCCGTTTGGCGGCTTGTCTCCTCGTCGAACTTTCTCGCTGTACGCGACAAGGTCAATTCGAGGAAACACTCAGAAACCTACCTACCGACTTGTTTGGGATCTACGACCGCTTTTTGGAACGAGTTCGGCCGAGGGATCTCGTATATGTAACAGGACTCCTTCGGTGGCTCATGTTCTCGACGCAAACCCTTGGTCTCACTGAACTTGCGGATGCCATCGCTTTTGACTTGGCCAGCGAACCACCATACGCCTATGATCCGGCTCAACGGCAAGATAATCTCACTCTCCTCGACGAGTGGTTGGAGGGACTGGTTACCGTTCGCGAAGACCATGGACATAAAAGGCTTGTCCTGGCGCATGCATCGGTCCAAGATTACCTTCTAACTAGGCGATTCACGGATAAATTCGGCTATGACCTCAGTGCAGACTATTCGCATAGTTTTGTAGCACGGGGTTGCATGGGGTATCTCATGCACTTCGCCGACCATCCCCTCAACGAAGAAACATTCCCGGACTATCCGTTGGCAATATATGCAGCCAAATACTGGTGCTACCATTTATTGCGATCCAAAGACCGACCTGCGTTGACTTCTGAAGCTCTCGGTCTGCTGCGGAACGGAAGCCCCCAATACCTTGCATTGAATGATCTGCGCTACACCTCCAAGCCAGATTCAACTTTCCTCCGTGCTGTCTCCAAACCACCTATCTATCTGTGTTTGGACGAAAACTACATCGATGGAATGCACATGCTACTTCAAAATGGCACGGGTGACGTTATACAAAGCGACAAGGACAGTTCTCTGTGTATCACATGCTCGAGAAAGCAGGTGTATGCTGCTCGTCTCCTCCTCGAAAACGGTGCCAATCCCAATGCACAAAGTGCAGACGGAAGTGCACTGCAGGCCGCAATCAAGTACTCCGACATCGATATTGTGCGCCTCCTCATTGAACACGGAGCTGATGTCAAGTCAACGTGTGGAGGGGCTTTCGCAGATTGGTTCCACGGACTATTGCAAGCGGCGGCATGGATGGGTTCCTCCGAGATTGTCCGTCTTTTGATTGAGAACGGCGCCGATACCAATGCGCGAGGAGGGATATACGGCACTGCCTTGCAAGCCGCTTTTTGCGAAGGGCATGCGGACATCATCCAGCTCTTACTAGCAAACGGCGCAGATGCCAATTCACCCTGCGAGGGTGTCTTTGGGGACTGGTTTGGGAGTCTTTTGCAAGCAGCGGCGTGCATAGGCTACACGAGGATAACACGTCTTTTGCTTGATGGTGGCGCAGATGTTACTGCTCAAGGGGGGAGATATGGATGCGCGTTGCAGGCAGCTTGCTGCGGGGGGCATACCGAGATCGTGGAGCTTCTTCTCACACATGGAGCCCCTCCAAATCCGGGGTGCCAAGGAATTGTTCGATACTGGTTTGGAAGCCTGTTGCAAGCCGTAGCATGGCTAGGCTATACGGAGATTGCTCTCCTTCTACTCAAGAATGGTGTGGACATCAACGCACAAGGTGGACGCCACGGCAGCGCATTACATGCAGCTTGTTGTAGACTGCACACAGATACTGTCCGGGTACTCCTCGAAAACGGGGCGGATGCCGATGTGGAAGAGGCAGAGAGCCGGTCTGCGGGTTCGTAAAATGGGTCGGTGATCCGGGACTGGTAGAGTGAGGTGAAGGAATGGAAGGCTGGTGGAGTCTGTGTGCCGGTAGAGTACGAAATGCGACGAGAAACAGAGTAAAAATGTCGTAAAAATGGAGGTCGAGAGCGTGCACGAGAAACGATGTTGTCGAAGGGTCAGAACGCCACGGTGCGAACTGTCGAGGTTGTTAAATCACTGGGAAATGTGCTTGCAACACGTAGATTTGGGCTTAGCCCACACTGGCTCGCACGGGATGAGCGTAAGACACGGAAAAGATAAATTGTGGTCCGTGGGCGCTTGTTTACGGTACAAACACGTCCGGTAACTAAATAATTGAGTAGGGACGAAATCGAACCAAATGTAAATTCCACCTCCCGGCCATCCGGCCCTGCCACACCGATGCACAAGGCATCCACTTCGAGATTGCGTTGCAAGCCGTTAGATCTTGGGCAAACCAGGAGAATATTGTTCACGCCCTCCTTGCGCATGGTGTT